TCAGTTAGGCGGGTGATGTCAAATGTCACCTGTCCAATTAACATACTTTCACGCTACCTGTCTTTCATAGATGTTGGTAGTAGTGGTGGTAGTAGGTGTGCTAGTAGATGGTAAAGGTAGATGGTGGTAGTGGTGGCAGGTGGAGGAGGGTGGCCTTGCAAGACCAAGTGTGGTATAAGGGTCTACCACTAAGTTCTTGTCAGCCAACCCCGTAAAACCAGGACGAAGGGGGCAGGGAGGGGTCGGGTTAGGACTCCTGGGATGGTGGATAGGTCTCCTGTGACGGGGCTAGGACTCCTAACACGGGGGCTAGGACTCCTAACACGGGGGCTAGGACTTCTGGGATGGTGGATAGGTCTCCTGTGACGGGGGCTAGGACTCCTGGGATGGTGGATAGGTCTCCTGTGACGGGGGCTAGGACTCCTGGGATGGGAGCTAGTACTGGAAATAGTGGCTAGGACTTGTGGGATGGTGGTTATGATGGGTCAGGGAAAGGGGTGAGGGTGAATCAGGAGGGAGGGAGGAAGGAAGGAAGGGGAGGGAGAAAGGGAGATGAGGGAGGGATGAAGGAAGGGAGGTGAGGGAGGGAAGGGAGGAAGGGAGAGGGGATGTCCGTGTTTGGTAGGATGGTGGGGGCCCCTACCAAGGTCAACAGAAATACTCTCTCTCTCTCTCTCCACGGACATAAGCTATTTAATAAACAACATCATTACACTCCAAGCATCATCTCGAGTTAATACTTGCAATGATTAACAACTGAATCCCATCAACTCTTAATAACTTAATATAGTCCTAACCCCTTTCGTGACAACTGCCAGGCTTTCATAACAACCAGTGATTAACGTTTTATTACTGTTGATATACTGCGGATATAAATGCTGTATATATGGGGAGGGAACACGTCCATATATGGCGATGCATTGGGGGAAAATAACGATACCTTTTGGGTTAGGTTAGGTTAGGTTAGGTTTACCCTCTAGGAGAGCCGCACGGTCGCCTCTGACACTGAGGAAAAGTCCCAATAGTGGCACCTTAACTGGTGATTTTCAAAGTAGCGTTTTATTTTATTTTAATTTATTTTAATACTTACGTGAGAGGTATTAGGTCCTTAAATACCTCTCACGCAGATGTGAATAACAAAGTGTGAGGCCAGACATACTGCCTCACTCCAAGGGAGGTGTGAATAACAAAGTGTGAGGCCAGACATACTACCTCACTCCAAGGCAGGTGTGAATAACAAAGTGTGAGGCCAGACATACTGCCTCACTCCAAGGCAGGTGTGAATAACAAAGTGTGAGGCCAGACATACTACCTCACTCTAAGGCAGGTGTGAATAACAAAGTGTGAGGCCAGACATACTGCCTCACTCTAAGGCAGGTGTGAATAAGTCAACCTCTATGTACAGAACTAAACAAACAATGTATTAGAAACACTCTGTAACATTCCACCATAATATCCTGACCACTGGGGGCTGTTATACACACCCTTAATGACCTCTACTCTGTAATCCTCTTGCGCTACCATTCACAGGATGAGCATGGGGTGCACAATAAACTAGCTGTTGTAAGTGGCAAAATTCTAAGAGAGAAAAAGAAAGAATGTCAAGCCGCCCGTAACATCTGACTACTACCATTACACAGTACTACCATTACACAGTACTACCATTACACAGTACTACCATTACACAGTACTACCATTACACACTACTACCATTACACAGCACTACCACCATGATACCACTCCCTGACGTGTTACCGTGATGGACTCAGTAACACGCCTTTCGTAACACCAAAACACACCTGTACCGTATAGCTCATAGTGAAGAATAACAACAATGGCAGAGTTGTTGATGTGCTGTCATAAAGGGAAGGCTTAGAAGGGCCTGAGTAAATACAATGACCCAAACACATTATTTACACATCTGAGTTCTGTATGTTCGTGTATGGGTGTGTGTGTATGTGTGTGTGTGTGTGTCATGTGTCAAGTAATGTAAGAGATCCATAGAGTTTGTGCAGGGGGTGTGTGTGTGTGTGTGTGTGTGTGTGTGTGTGTGTGCTGGACATACTCTGATTTTAGACTTTCAAATAAAGTGTTAATGTTTGTCTGTATGTAAACAAGGAGGTGAAAGACTGTATGTAAACAAGGAGGTGTAGGAAGAAGACTGTCTACATCACAAAAACTTTCCGCTAATCCCCTGAGAAGGTGGGGCAGTGATATGTACAGTCACCATTGTTTGTTTGCTTGATGGAGGAGGAGGGAAGGAGGGAGAGGGAGGGAGGAGGGAGAAGGAAGGAGAAGGAAGGAGAGAAGGAAAGGAAGGAAGGAAGGAATGATGGGGAAAGGAGGAGGAAAGAATGATGAGGGAAGGAGGGAGGAAGGAGGGAGGAAGGAGGGAAGAATGATGGAGAAGTGAGATGGAGGGTGATGGAGGAACGAGGAGGAGGGAGTGAGAGGGGGGGAAGAAGGGAGGGAATGAGGGAAGGGAAAGAGAGGGAGAAGGAGAGGGAGGAATAAGTGGAGGGAGGAAGTAAGAAGGGGAGGGAGGGAAAGAATGATGAAGGCAATGAGAGAAGGAGGGGAGGGAGAAATGGAAAGGAGGAATAGAGGAAAGGAAGAAGGGAGGGAACAAGGTAGGGAGGGAGAAAGGAGGAAGGGAGGGATGGAGGGAATAAAGAGTTTGTGAAAGAGGAAAATAAAAAAATAAGGGAGGGAATGAGTTAGTGAAGGAGGGAATGAGGGAGGGAATGAGGGAGAGTGAGGGAGAGACAATCACATATAATTTTCCTTAAGTAACATATAATCCATACAAATATAACTATATAATTATACCAGTCAAAAGTATAACTAGATCAGTAACTACAGGAGTGAGTACATGAGTTACTATATGGGTGAGTGGCCGCAAGAGTGCTTGAGTAACTGTGAGTGACGCCACCCACTAATGTGTAGAGAAGGACATTTGACATTGTTAATTATGAGTTGCACAATTTCTCTCTCTCTCTCTCTCTCTCTCTCTCTCTCTCTCTCTCTCTCTCTCTGCTAGTTTGTCTGTCTGTCTGTCTGTCTGTCTGTCTGTCTGTCTGTCTGTCTGTCTATCTGTCTCTATTTAGTTTACTCATTTTATCATTGTTTTTATAAGTATATATATGTTAATTTGTTTCCTGTGTTTGTTTGTACTTGTTTGGGTGTGTTTGTGTGTCTAGATGTCTCTTTGTGTTCAGGTAATTATCTTTGTGTATGTCTGTTTTTGTTTATGTTTATGTCATGTTTGTGTGTGTTTGTGTGTATGTTTGTGTGTGTGTCGTCGTATGTGTTTTAGTCAATTTTTTTGTTTTTGTTTTCATATCTGTGAATTTGTGTTTGTTTGCATCAAGATATTTGGTGGGTGGGTGTGTGTGTGTGTGTGTGTGTGTGTGTGTGTGTGTGTGTGTGTGTGTGTGTGTGTGTGTGTGTGTGTGTGAGGAGGGAGGAAGGGAAAGGTGTAGGAGAAGAGTTTGTAGTTGTTTAGACAGACAGACAGACAGACAGACAGACAGACAGACAGACAGACAGGATAGATTTAAAAAGAAATAAGACAGACTGACAGACAAAAATAAACCAGACAGACAGATACACAGATTAACTAGTATATAAGTGACTTTCTGTCTGTACATTATATAATTATTTAGACAGTAATAGAGTGTCTGTTAAGCGAGTATACATAGTCATTATCGATATTATTATGATGTAGGTTTAAGTAACATGTGAGCTGTGGCCGGACACATCGATAAATTGTCGGATATTCCACTTTCTCCCTCATAATGTGACGGTCGAACTCACTTGATATTTAATGTAAGATCAGCCCTTTGTTTTTACTAGTATATATATATATTTTTTTTTCGTTCGGATTATTTTACATATTACTGTTGATAATTCTTGTAAGAAATCCGTAAATCCGGATTATTATTCTATTTTGATCTGTGATACGGTGTAGGATTTTCATTTTCTTGTAGATATAATTTTCATGTTGAAGCAGAAAATGTCAAATTTTACAATACAGTGGATATTAAATGTTAATTCTAAACGCGCTACGAATACTTAATTAGATTCGTCTCTCCTTCAAACAACAACAAAAAACTATTGCCATCGATACTTATCACCTCTTCTCGACACGATCTGTTCGGTAGGCTTCGCTTCTGGCAATTATCACGCCTCACTACTTTTTTGACGGGCGGGATTTATTATTATTATTTTTTTAAGGAAAGTCCAACATCTTGTATACATGTCTGGTGCCAGTACTAAACGGCGAGAATTACCCAGTGGCGTTTATGAGACAAGGTCAAGATGCCTTCCTCCCTCCCTCCTTTACCTCGCTAGAGTTGACCGTTGACCTCTCCTTCCTCACTACCCCTTCTCTCTTTCCTCCTCCCCCCCTCCCCTTCACATACCCAACTCCCCACCTTCCCTTTTTTGACCTCCTCCCTCCATCCCTAACCCCTCCACATCACCCCCCCCATGACCCTTCCAGTGAACCTGCCTCTCTCTCCTCCCTCCTCCACCCTTGTAAAGCATCCCCTCCTCCCTTCCTCCCTCCCCAGTCTTTCAGAATCTCCCCTCTAACCTTTCCCTCCCCTCCCTCCCCTCTCCATCCCCTCCTCTTGTTTCTACTCTCCCCTCCATTAACCAACGACATTTCTTCCCCTCCCTCTCTCCCCATTCCCCATTCCATTTCCCACTCCCCTTTAGCCTTCACTTCTCCCATGACTCCTCCCTCTCATTCCTCCCCTTCAACCTCTTGTTATTCAACCCTTTCTCCTACCCCCTTCTCCCCCCCTTTAGCCACCCTCGCCTCTTTGACCCCCCTCCTTCAGCCTCCCTCGCGCTCAGAACAGCCGTCAGACACCCCACCATTGCCCCTCTGATGACCTCCTGCCTTCCTCCCCTCCCCTCCCCCTGTCCCCACCTTCCCTCCCTTGGGCTCCTCCTCCTTGGTGTCTGTCCCTGCTAGTATATAAGGTGTTCAGGACCTCCTCCGTGTCACAGTTGGCTTCTCTCCTTCAGTGCTTAAACTTATATACACCAGGTAAGTAGTTGGGTCTTCTCAGGTGTGTAGTGTCAAGTATATGTTGTCAGTTGTGTGTGTGTGGTGTCAGGTGTGTGGTGTCAGTAGTGTTATGTTAGGTGTGTTATCAGTTGTGTGTGTGGTGTCAGGTGTGTGTGGTCATTAGTACCTCGACACATTGTACCCGTGTTGTGTTGTTTACCTGATGGCTGACAAGTATGAAGTTGAGTCTGTTAATGCGAGACAGTTCCCATTATTGTGGTAGAGAAATCATTGATGTTTATTATTGTATTATCATATTAGTGTGTGTGTGTGTGTGTGTGTGTGTGTGTGTGTGTGTGTGTGTGTGTGTGTGTGTGTCGTGTTCCCAACCAGTGAAGAAGGTTGACGAGGTACTCCAGATTGTTAAGTGTGAGTGCAGTTCTTAATCCACACGACGAGAGATAAAGTGAAGATGGTCGTCTCTGTTGCCAAATGGTTACGTAAACTTAACAACGTGAGTTCCTGTTGAAAGGGAAAGTATTGGCGGGTGGATCCCGGCAGGTACACACGCCCGCCTGCCTCACTAATGCTGTACTGCGTTTACTGGTTTATAAGAATGGCAAAGTAAATGACATTATATAGCAAAATATTTGATAAAGTATAATAGTTTTATTTTTTTAAAGTAGCAAAGGGAAGGAAATATACCAACATAAATTTTAGTTTTCGTGAGAGAAATGTGATGGAATCGGACATTGTTGCCGACGAGGTTGCTGTTCGTCTGTCTGTACTGATGCGTGTCTACATTACTAAAGTTCATAACAGATAACAGAGAAAAAAATATCAAACCTACATTATTCTCAGTAATTGATTTAATAATTCTTTTATCTTCAGTGATTCGTTAACATCCATAAACACTCGTAACCTTCCCTCTTACTGTATGGGTGAGCTTCCCTTCTTGTGTTTGATCAACGATACTCAGAGGACGTTACCTCCCAGTGACGGGGTAACTGTCCACAGCGTACAGTGCAGGAGACCTGGATTGGTATTTATGATCAAGTTGAAATCACTCACTGCCACCACTACTACCACTACTACTACCACCACTACTACCTCCACTACCACCACTACCTCCACTACCACTACCTCCACTACCACCACTACCACACCACCACTACCACACCACCACTACCACCACTCGTCTCTCCCTTAGTAATATATCTCTAACATCTCAGTGACTACAAACATTGATAGAAAGGTCATGACTATCTCTCCCACAGGACGGCTTGAGAGACAGGCAGTACCAGCCAGTGTGTTTCATCTAGGGCCTAGAGATATTCACATTTTTTTTCCTCTGGTGGAGACAAAGAATGAAAGTGAAACGAGAAGGAAGAGAGAAAGGCAGACCGAGATACCAAATCCACAGACACAAAGAGAATAGAGAGAGAGAGAGAGAGAGAGAGAATGGACACACACATGCACACACACACACATACACATACATACACTCGACGAACAGGTCATCAGGGTAAATTTTAACGTCTTGGTGACCACAATAACGATTCTCTATCTATCTATCTATCTATGAGAGAGAGAGAGAGAGGTGACAGGCAGATGAATGAATTAACCTGATCTGAAGGTCATAAGTACCGCATCACTACAGCGTCACTGACCCAATATAGCAAAGGGGGTCCACGGTCATTTTGAGGAGCAGGAATATGTAAAAGTACCTGTAGCCAGTATGGTAGAGTTGCCACCTTAAATAATAATAATAATAATAATAACAATAATGTAAAGAAAATATTAATAATGTATTTTATGTGTTTGGGAAATATAATTATACACTACATACTTTCATCTGCATCTCCAATATAAAAATAAAAATAAATCAATAAATTAAAAAATACATTATCAGTTATTTGTTCCATTTTTTCAACTTTAGTCGTATCATAAAAAAAATAAATAAATACAAAAAAATTAATTATATAAATGTTTAATAGTTTGGTTTTTTCCCTACCAACTGGATCTTAAATCAGTCAATACTATTTATGTTAGATTATAAGAAGGAGTTGTGTTACCTCTCTCTCTCTCTCTCTCTCTTTCTGCTGTATTAAGGTGTGGGTGTCTGGAATGTGAAGAAAACTAAGTATTCTGGTCACGTCTTGGATTAACTAGTGTGTAGACTCTCACGTCTTAAAGCCAGTCAGCGTCTTGTGTGTCTAGTTCATAATCTTTGTCAGGTCTAAATGGCTCTTACACCACAACGAAGACAAAGAAAGACAGATTAGGGGCTAAGTAGTGTAATAGGTAGTATTATTTAACTTTGAGAGAGAGTCGGACAAGAGCCAGACAGACCAATGTGTCAAAGAAGAGTAAAGAGCTCTGAGAATATGTAAACAAAGGCTTACGTTTACAGTATAGGTCAAAGGTCAAACGTTAGATAATACGCTAGAAATAAAGACAGCAGCTACTCCAAAGTTGGCAAAAGGAAGATGGCACTCAACGTGAGGCATCTTCACCTCCACCTCCTTTCACTCGTCCTTAGTCATAGAAAACCTGGCTTCATGGCCAACACTGCGAGGGTGATTATCATAATTTCAAAACCTTGCCACATGTAATTTTATTTGTATGTTTATTTCAACAGCATATTCTCTATTTAGTATTTAATCAGTTAAATCGTCGATGTTTAATTCCTTCACAAATTTTGATAATGACGCAACATTTTATGTCGAAGAAAATATTTAATAGTCACAGAAACAAGAAGATGAAAGACGTGTAATCTGTAACCTCTTGTGACCTTAAAGATCCGGCCACGCCACTCTCCCTGGCTCGACCTACCTTAACTGGTACTGGGTGGAGGGGTGGAAGGGTGGATAAGAGGAGGGGTGGGGGAGCGGAAGGGTGGAGAAGTGGAGGAGCTGAGGGGTAGAGAGAAGGAGAAGGGATCACAAGTTACAAACAGGTTAGAGTGAACGGAGGACAAAACAGAAGGAACAGGTAAGAATATATTGTTTAGAGGGGGATGGCGGTGTGTGTGTATGTGTGTGTGTGTGTGTGTGTGTGTGTGTGTCATGATAAATTTAAAGGAAATAATTCACACTACTCTCACTGGTCTGTCTCACAACACCCTCACTACCAGTACAACACACACTATCAGTCACTCATGAATGTATTACGCCAGACCTTCCCTCACACACTCACATCCACGTAGATTATAAAACACAGTACTTCTGTGTGGTCACTTGTGTGAGGTGAAGCCCTCCTCCGTGTCATGTTTAAATGTGTAGATGATGTAAGGCATAAATGTATGTCAAGCGACCGATTAATTCAACATTCTGTGGCACACGTTGCTCGAGGCATTGTATTCAGACGCCCATCCTCCTGTCTGTCGACTACTGGTGGTGCCTCACAGCCACGATACTGAGAGATTCACGCACCACAACACATCGTGAATGACTATAGCTTGGTGGGGGGGGTGTAATTTGATGTGCAGTAAGTGATAGTGTGAGACATGATGGTAAGTGTTGTGTGAGGCTCCACACTAGCAGCTCCAGTCACTGTAACTGACCTAGCATAAGTTGGGCGCCCCGGGACCACACACCCTCCATGCAAACGGCCGCACGCGCCCTCACCCAGCACCCTCTCCACTCTAGATGAGTGGGCGGGGTGTAGGGTGAGGGTCTTGTGGGCGTGATGGGACCCAGGAAAGTGGGTGGGTCCCGGGGCCCCGCCCTCTGCCCCGCGTGACCACGCCCCTAACCTGGTGTCTCTTGCAGGATGCGGCCGCTGTGCCTGATACTGTTGCTGGTCGCTGCTGCCGGCGCTGACAAGCTCTTCCCGGGTCCTCCCAGAGGCAGAGCTTCCAATGATTTCGAAGCGATCCTCGGGGGCTACCTGCCGCCCAGGGAGCCTGCCACGTGCCTCCCTGTCTACCTCAGCACCACCTCCACCTCGGTGGTGCTGACCACACAAGTCGTCAGCAGGCCCACCACCGTCACGAGGAGCACCAGTGCTGTAATTGTCGTCACGGAGGTCGTCCCCACTACCATCGTCAGGACCAATACCATCACGGATAGACAGCGAACGACTGAAACTGTCCGACAGACGAGATTTGACGATATTCTGATAACCGTCATTAGGACCGTCACCGCCCCAGCGACCACGAGGACCGTCCAGGCAACAGTTACTAGGACACAAAATATCCAGAGTACCACCACCAGAACGGTGCGCTCGACCCTCAGAAGAGACGTTACCGTCACCAGAACAAGTGTAGAAACTTCTTTGCAGCCCACAACTACCACCAGACAAACGCAGGTCGTGCAAACCAACACGGTGCCCTACCAGCCTCCTCCAGTCGTCACGACGAGAACCAGGACCACTGTTGTGCAGTCCACCGTGCGGTCTCAGGGTCCGATAAGGACTGTTCAGATCACAGACGTAGTGCGTACGACCTTGGCCACCACCAGCACCTACCAACCTCCCCCAGTGAGGGTGACTCAGACCCTCACCAGCACTCAGGTGGTCTTCACCACCTCCACTACAGCGAGGGTGTCCCAGAGTGTGCGAGTACAAGATTTGGTCATCACCCGCACCATCACCAACACCCAGTTCTCCACCGATACTCGGCGAGTGACTGTCACCCGCACAACCACGCTCGTGGTGGGCAACACGGTCACCAGGACCCAGGTCACCACGCAGGTGCGACCCACCACCATTGTCAATACTCAGACGGTGCAGAGGACTGTGGGAGGGGGTGTGGATAGAAGGACCGCCACTGTCATTAGTACTGCCTATGTCACCGTCGATGGCCCTGGCCGGGTGGTGACGCAACGAGTGGTGAGCACTGAGGTGGTGCAGAGCGTGGTATACATCACCCCGACTTATCCAAACACCATCACGGTCACTAGGACGCAGCAGGAGCCGTGTGGCCCAACTCGCTACAATTACGATGCTCCAGCCATCCCCTTCGGGTTCCCTAATTAATTCAATATCGTTCTTGCCAAAACTTTCCCACACAAGTTGACAAATTCCTTGACGCAACAGTAGACGTAATGACCATCGACACAGTATTTCTTGCTGGCGAGCATCTTGTGGATCCATGATCACTCGGCCGAGAGCATCAATATACTGTACAGTTCAGTACACGTCGGACTGTATCTGCTCAACATTACATCAGTTAGCTGCAGCGCTACACCTGTTCCCTGTAATATGAAAACAAACAAACAACGTACATATTTATCTGATTTTGTCGACATGATAAATCCGGAACTAGAAATTTGTGAAATAAACCATTAATTCTGATTTTATTTTCTTCCTTATCCACGTAGCATAATTATGTACATCAGTTCACAGTTACGTTTATGGTAAGTGTTGCAGTCATAAGAGTTGTGATCATTAAGTGATAATATTGTATGTTGTTGGTGCAGCAAGCTGATGAGGTTCATGTTGTGTTGCAGGAGGATGCGCGCTCTTTTCTTAGTGCTGCTGGCGGTGGCAGGACCCTGCTTCACTGCCAAGCTCCCCACCATCCCTGGCGTCCCTCCTGGCAGCGGTCGGCAGCTCTTCTCAGGAACCAATGACCTTTTCTCTGGAGCGCAGGGCACATTGGATTCCTACTTGCCCCCACCCCGTGAGCCCTGCTTCCCCGAAACAATTTACAGTACACAATTCGTGACTGTCACCTCCTCCACGGTACGGACGGAGGGCAGAGTGGTGACCCAGTACACAACGAGGACTGTGCCCAGCACCAGGCTGCAAGTATCCACCGTGTACTCTACCCGCGTCACCACTGTGGGTCTCCCCTCTACTATCCGCACCACCATTTTCGTTACCGATGTGGTTACCCGCACCTCGACGGGCGTCACTACCCGCCCCGGGGGTGAGGCAACTGTCACCAACACCCGCACACAGGTGTCCACAAGAACCCAGTTCGTGACACGGACGTCCACCGTTGTGTCCACTGTGGGGCAGACCAATACGCGCACAGAGGTGTCCACGACGGTGGTGCCCACCATCTATACCCGTACCCAGACCGTCACCAGAACACAGGTGGTGACGAGGACCCAGCCGGCCGTCACCAGAACCCAGGTAGAGACTCAAACAAGGACCTCCGTGGTGACCACCACCGTACCCGGCCAAACCAGCACCGTCACCAACACTCAGGTGTCCACCGCCTACGTTACCCGCACCTCTACAGTGCCGGGTCGCACCTCCACGGTGGTGTCCACAAGGGGAGTCACTGTCAGGAGCACTATTGTGTCCACTGTAGTCAGCACCAGTGTGTTGACCCAGCTAGTGACTAGCACACAGACTCGGACCCTCACAACCACCCAGGTTATCACACAGCAGGTGTCGTCCACAGTGGTCCGGACCCAGACTGTGCCCTCCACGGTGTTCACCACGAGGTACAGCACACAGGTGGTGCCTACTACTATTGTCAGGCAGAGCACCGTCACCGTCACTGTGACGGAACAACGCCAGTTCCTCACCGACACCGTCACACGCACTGCCACCTCCACAGTGACCACTGGCGGTGACACCCGCACCACTCAGGTGGTGGACATCGTCACCCGCACCAACGTGGTCACCACGACCGCCTTCCTTGACCGGCAGGTGACGGTGACCAGTACCACCAGCATCCCCTGCACGACCAGCGGCGGTTACAACTACAACGCACCCGATGTCGCCTTCAGCTTCCCTGGCTAATGTATACGACACAACCTCACCTGGCTGAACCTACCAGCTGCCTATAATGTCACATTTAAACACCAGACAAGAAATAAAGTTCGTCGTCACCAAGAAGCTAACCATCATGTACACACCTGTACACATCTCTGTATGCCATCTAAAATTAAAATATAAAGTATACAAAACAATATTTATTACACTATTAAAGCCATGTAATATAAGATGACCAAGAGTTTAAACCAATAGTTACAAATATTAAATAGGAAAAAAAAAGTTTTTGCTCAATGTAATGACAATAAATGCTGAGTCACTCCCAACATTACCCACCAAGATTTTCCCTAAGCCTTGACCAACTTGATGATGATCTACTACTACTATTACTTTTTTTAACGTGGCTTCCAGCCTCCCCCAATAGCCACACCTATGCCTTAAAATTAAATATCCTAATACAAAAGGAGCTACCCTAGCTGTGTTGAGTTAGTTGAGCCGCAGATCTATGCGGCATTCAGTGACTGTAGCCTCATAGTCAATATCTGCAACTGTTGTTGTCATTGGGGCCGACGATCTCGTTCCCCTGAGGCAGAGCAATGCAGACCTAAGTAGAGAAGAGCAGTCGACATCTCATCCAGGCTGCAACATAACTTCTGGGCTGCTGCTTCTGTTCAAACAACACCTCTGCCAGTCTTGCATAGAAGTGTCTTGGTCCCATCCTGCCAGAGGTTGTGAAGACCAGAGGAGTGAAGCTGCCTTGATCCCCGTTTTGAATTATTTCAGAATACGTCACCACCATTACTTGCACCATCCCCACCGCTCCAATCACCACCACATTCACTACCACCACAATCACTACCACCACAATCACTACCACCACCACCACAATCGCTATTACCACCACTATCGCCACTACTACCACTACGCCACCACCACGACTACTACCACCACTGCTCAAACCGCCACCACCACCATTACTGGCACTGTACTGTACAACAATATGAGTCAAACTGCAAGCCAACTACCCACATCATGGACCAATACCGAAGCCTGACGCCTTGGGTCCCATACCACTAACCAGCTGCCTGTGTAAAACTCTTGAGAGGATGGTTCTTGGCAGACTCTTATATAGAATCAGAGAACACAAGTCCCCCAACATGGTAAGAATGTTCATAATTACATCACCATATTCCTAGCTGTGTTTGGAGGTGAAAAACACAAATACACCAAACGATATTTCTAATAGGCAACTTATATTGTACGAACTAGCCTATAAGTGGTCGGCAGTTACATTGGATAAGTTATTACCTCAACAACAGAAGGGCTTAAAGTGAATGTCAAAGATAATTAATTAACTTAGCACCCCCAAGGTAGAGTAGTTAGTCTCACTCTGTTCAATGTGCTTATGAATGTACTATTAAACTGCCTCACCAATACAGATGACATTCTCGTATTCACTAAATCTCATCGTGAAATGCAGACCACTGTGAACCATGTACAGGCAGCTTGTGAGAACCTGGGTCACATCATCCCCAATGAAAAAACTAAAGTAGTCGACAAACAAACTGGTAACCGAAAAACGCGAACCATCAAAATTTATGAAATGTAACAACGCCATTGACCAAGTCTCTTCTTTTGTTAAACATATCGGTGTCTCTAGCCCCTGTTCCTCACCTGACATACTACAGCTAACACGCGGCATTAACAAACAATAAATTAAAAATAAAATAAAAATCTTAGTCTGTCCCATGAGCACTAAAATAGTAAATATGAGGAAATAATTAGTAATATACAGAGTCAAAGAAAGAATAATTACAGTCAACCTGGAGGCTCTTGCATGGTGTTCCTGATAACACCACCAAAGTGAACACACAACGTACAGACTTATAACAACACTACACAAACCATGTACTACACTGATGGCCCTGTCAACTCTGTCCGTGGGAGGGCTGGAAGTGCTGTCGTTGTGACTCAGCCCAACGGTAATACAATAAAGGAATGAGAATCAATAACTGGACATCCACTCTACAAACTGAACTAGTTGTCATACTCACAACCACAGAACTTGTTGAAATCATTGCCACAGACTGTTACTGTCTCATCATCACTGACTCCTTATCCTCACTACTTAACTTTGACACCCTCAGCTTAGGTTGTCACGCGCTTGTCTCTGAAGCAAGATACAAAAGTGTGCCTTGTTGACCGAGGGGTGAAGATCAAACTGTTGTGGATCCCTCTCACATAGGCCTCAAAGAACATGACAGAGTTGATGCCCTCGCCAAACTCGCTTCTAACAAAGACACTGTTAAATACAATTTGGGTCTGTCAAAAATAACCCTTAAAAGCTGGACAGGCTACTAAATAAAGGTGTTTAAGTATCCTCTTCCAAATGGGTGGTGGCAGGAATATTAATGAAGGACAGGTGTACAGGTGTGAACTGTGCCTTTCTGCTCCTGATATAAACACTCTAACTCTAACGCTCACATCACGTTGAAAAGAAAACAACAACAAGGTAATATAAGAGAACAATATTATATGAAACTAATTAAACATTATTTTCTTTTATGTTGCACAAAGTTTCGTTCATTAATGAGACGTTCAATTGGTGTAAAAATCTGGTGAAATTGGACTAGATGAAGTTATGACCACCTGCTTGTGCTCACACCCCGTGGAGTGTTGCGGGGCGTACAGAGTAAGTGTTTATAGTTAGAAACGACACACTGTTGCTGTTAATTACGAAGTGCTATGATTATGTTAGGTTTAGTTAACTGATATCCTAAACAGCCTTAATAGATTGAAGAAGATGACGGTTAATCTCTCCAGTCTATAATATGACCATAAGGTTAGGCTGTGATGGAGGTAAACCATACCAATACCAACCTTACGTTCACGACACTTAGCAACCATATTCCCCTGTGCTTATCTTCCGGGCTAGGCCTTCACACCACAGTGGCTCGCTGGCTGAATATAACTCAATAATGTTCTATGTTAACCATTTAATAATGTATTTGTTGTCATTTCTACCTTGGAACTTATTCTTTATTATTATTTAATTCTACTTATGTACTGGAAGTAGCTTCATTCGTTCCCGTAAATTATGTTAATTTTTAATTCATTAAAACCTTACAATAGAAATAATGAAACATTTGAAGTAGTTTGCCCCCCAAAACAGCGTAGTTTTCTCAAGTCCCCGCCCAAAAAACACAATAATACAACCTTGATTATCTGAAGTACTCAACTATCAACACGTCCAGTACTGCTCAGTAAGACCCTGCCATAATTTACGCTGCAATTAATCCATCGCATCGCGTCTGTGGCGAGTTAACTAATGGATACGAAATCTATCACGGACGAAAGACCTGACGGACGGACGGATGGACGGACGGACGGAAGGATGGATGGATGGACGGACGGACGGACGAACGGATGGATGGATGGATGGATGGACGGACGGACGGAAGGATGGATGGATGGATGGACGGACGGACGGACGGACGGACGAACGGATGGACGGACGGACGGACGGATGGATGGATGGACGGACGGACATCATTACTATATATCCCCAAACTCTCGGTCCGGGAGAAAATACTGAGAGACTCTTAGAAAAACTGGTGTTTGATGCAAGCTTAGGAAAACGTGGTATCCCGAAAAATTACACCCAATAATACTTTGACGTACTTGAAACACAAGGTGGTGGTCTAATGCTCCCGAGGTGTGAGGACGCTCCTCAGGCAAGAGTGTGAGGACGTTCCCACACATCTAAACCAGGAGGAGAGACCCAACTCACCGAAAACACTGGTCTCTGCTGCCGAGCTGTGACGGTCAACACTGAACATGTCTAGATCATATGGTTCTCTGCCCTAAACTACCTTAATCCCAATCACCCTTAAGGCATTACGATTGGATCCCACTGAAATTGGGATCATTGGAATTAGTACTTACTGGGATTGGGATCTGTTATGGCTAAACCTCGATCCCAATGGTTAGGTCAGGTTGCTATCAATTAGGTCTGGGACATGTTTGACAAATCAACAGCTGATAGAGAGGACATGACGCCTCCAAAACACGAAGCAGATTATCCTGTAAAGCAGGATAATGAAACCATGACAGCATGGTGAGGGTTATTTTATCTGTGTAGAGAGAACTTTCCAGGAGAGATGCGGATGCCTTTAAAACAGGTGAGTGTGATCACTATACCCAGTTAAATGGCAGAGGTAAGGCGCTTACGGGAAGACGGTGGTAGGAGGAGGTCTCCGATACCCCCATAGATGGCGACGGGACCACAGGCGACCACAAACACTGTGTAAGGATAAGGAGTTGGTCCGACGTCCGCGTGAACGAGTGGGAGGATCACGTTGACTCACTAATAAGGGAAGGACACCGACGTCCTTAACGATGAAGAAGAAAAGTTGATGAATAAAACGATGATCAATGAACATGATAACTTGGACGTACCTGAGATATGGCGTGTTAGTGTCCCTCCAACAGCTGTTTTAACTCACACTTACCTGGAAAAAGAAAAGGAAAAATCTAATTGAGATTACCTGCCGTCTATCACATACACACTTATATGGTAATTCACATTTAACTTACAAAAACAACCAAGGCAGAGCATATGATCTTAAGCATTATTTCATGCCCAATGGATGACCAAGAGAACAGTAGTATTAGTAGTTACCTTGTGCTGGTGGTCGGGGGAGCCCTGGCACCCTGCAAGGTCACCTCCTGGCACCGTCTTGACACTTTTATGACACCTCATGGCCCTTAATGACACCTTGTGTTCTTCATAACACACTTTACACCTTGGGATAGTTCAAGACACTTTGCAACACTTTGATAATTGAGAACTCTTCATGACACACCTCTGACACTTCATAACACTTTTTTGTTTGTGCACAACATTACGTGACACTTTATGGCACTCTGACACCTTATGCCACTTTACGATACTTTATACCATTCATTTGACACGTATGGGTGTTTTTGGCCCCCACGACACTTTATTACACTTGATACGCTTCTTGACACTGAGAAACACTTTACTACACTGAGAAACACTTTACTACACTGACAAACACTTTACTACACTGACGAACACTTTACTACACTGACAAACATTTTACTACACTGAGAAACACTTTACTACACTGACGAACACTTTACTACACTGACGAACACTTTACTACACTGACGAACACTTTACTACACTGACAAACACTTTACTACACTGAGAAACACTTTACTACACTGACGAACACTTTACTACACTGAGAAACACTTTACTACACTGACAAACACTTTACTACACTGACAAACACTTTACTACAC